CCCCAAAACCCCAAAACCCCTTGTACTTTACTACAATTAGATTAAATACTTAGAATAATTAATAATTTTGAATTTGTAATTTGAACTTAAAAAATGAACAAGATAAACTAATTCATTAACAATATCAATATAAATATTCCATCATTCAATCTCAACTTAAATTAGAACAATGCTCCACCCGTAGACCCCTCCATAGGCTCAAACTGTAGTGTTGGTCATAGAACAGTCAGAATAGATAGCAAAATTTCTGAAGGTAAATAGTATAAATTAGATTGAGTTTTTTTTAGGGGGTTTTGGGTTTGTTTACAAAGTGACAGACATTAATACATTTACATAATACGCAATGAAGAAGTTATTAATTAATGTATGCATGACTATATATATTCATCTGATTATTAGAGTTCAGAATCAAAGAAATAAATAGAAAATGAAATAAAAATTTGGGTAATCAATATCATTCAATTTACCTTAATTATAGAAACTGATGGGAGAACATGAAAATATAGTAAAGTTTGTTGATGCAAATGTCCTTAAGGAGAATGATGGCACATACATCTTAATTTTAAGCGAGCTTTGTTCACAAGGAACTCTTTTCGATCTTCTATAGAAGTATAATGGCTAACTATCTGAGGCTTAAATAATATTTATCCTAAAGGAAATATCTCAGTAATTAAAAAAATCATATATCAATTAAATTCTAGAGGCCTTCTGCACATGCATCAATAATCTCCAGCTATCGCTCATAGAGATATAAAGATTGAAAATGTCTTATTAAACAATAAGAGATTCAAACTTTGTGATTTCGGTTCTGCATCAACTTCTGTTTTGGATTACTCAGTTATGAATGATCAGCATATGATAGATGAGACTATTGAAGAATTCGAAAAGTATACTACAATGATGTACAGGCCACCAGAAATGATTGATAAATACAAAAAATTCTTGGTCAATACCTAAGCTGATGTTTGGGTAAGGATAATATAAATTTCAATCAAATTGATAGATGCTTGGCTGCGTAGCTTACACACTTTGCTTTTTTTAACATCCATTCTAAGAATCATAAAAGCTTGGAATCATTAATGCTCATTATTTTATGCCAGCAGATAGCAGAATTTCAAACAAATTAAAGGATTTTGTTAGATTGATGCTAGTTCCTAATCCCTAGAGTAGACCAAATATTAAATAAATTCTAGCAATCTTGAACTAATGGGATACTTTACCATCAATTAATCTCAGTGTAATATAATATATTTATTCACCTTTTAGAGAGATGCATAAGAAATCAAATTAAGATCAGAGAACCAGCCTGATACATCAAAAGTCACGAATAATACTTAGAATTAGTTTAAATCATAAAAATCAATAGATAGAGATTTAACAGCAGATGACATCTAAAAAATATAAGAAAAGCTGAGGCTTGAGCACTAAAACTCCTTAAATAAGAAAAAGCAGCATGTACCCTTGCCTTCTGCTTACTCTAATATTAGCAATTAATAATAAATTCAATAGCCAATCATTGATAAATCTAAATCTCATGTTGTTACATCCAGTATATAGTCGCAATAATATATGAGAGGGACATAGAATTTTTCAAATCAAAATAATAATTAGAATATAGATTTCTTTAGTCAGCTTGATTAACAGTTGCAGTAGCCACCTTAGCAAAAACAGTAAAATGCAGCTGGTAATGGTGATTTCTTTAACTGGGGAAATAGCAACGGTAACACTCAGTAAGTAAGACCATAATAACAATAAATACCATTGAAATCACAAAGTATCGTCTAAAACTAATCAAATGATTGGTTCTTTGATTTCAACAATTAGTAGTCTAACAGCAATAATAATAGACCAGTTCAAAATACTTCCTAGATACAAATTTAGAAATAGTCTTCTATTTAAACAGCAAATCTTTTGGAATTAGACAGCCAGCCTTTGATTCAAAAGCAAACTGATCTATTGAGTGAATTATCTTCATTAGATTTTGGATTTTCTGCATCAACTCAGCAAACTTAGAGCTAATAATTCAATCAATAGTAGTAGCCTTAGCAATAAAAAGCCAATGATTTCTTTAGTTTCTGATTCAAGCTATTTGATTTTCTTAATATATTCATCAATAGAGAATTGAGGGGTTTTGGGGTTTTGGGGTTTTGGGG